CATCAGAAAATGTTCGTACTAACCAACTAAAACATCGAAAAATCTGGGGGTAAAGTAAAAATTTGCCGATTTTTTTCATGCGACGTGTAAAAAACTCGATCGAATAAACGGACCAATAGAGGCAGGAAGGTGTCAATTAGCGTACGTGCTATGCATGTTTTTCGAAGTAATGACGTTTCGAAGTAATGACTTTTCAAAGAAATGACTTTTCGAAGTAATGACTTTTCGAAGTAATGACTTTTCGAAGTAATGACTTTTCGAAGTAATGACTTTTCGAAGTAATGACTTTTCGAAGTAATGACTTTCGAAGTAATGACTTTCGAAGTAATGATTTTCGAAGTAATGATTTTCGAAGTAATGACTGGCAGCCCTGGAAACACTTTGAGTGGGACTTTTAGATCAGAAACATCTATCAATGGTCGCTTCACTACGATTATAACGATTCTTAAGAGTTTAGGCTCTTAAGAGTTTAGTATTTTTTTATGGTTTTTCGCTTTTTAGTTAGTATTGATACCTTTAGGGCATTCGAATTTTTTCCAATTTTCCTTTTTAAGTTATTCGAACTCCTAAGAAGTTATTCGAACTCCCTTTGTTCCCGTAAGTCTCCCGAAGCTCATTCTCACCTGAACAAAGCCTCCCGCAAGGATCCCGATCCTTCTCCGGCCAATTCCAGCATCAATCAAATTTGTGTGTACAGTGTGTGTGTGTGGAGTAGTGGAGGCGGAGCAGGAACCGAAAGAAGCTGCACCCCAAGCCCAAAGAAAAGAGGTATAAATCGGAAGGCATCTTCGTCTCCTTTTCGCTGGCTTCCGCTCCTACTCCTCCTTCTCCATCCACACTTCTCCGCCCCAAAAACAAGTCGTCGGCATCAATAATTCAGACGAGGCACACACCCACTCTCGAGGGGGGCCAGCCCCACCTCTCTGCTTGGGGGAGCTGGACGGTTACGTAGCTTGATTTTTTTGCTTCACCTTTTAATCATTAACCTGTAGAGTCGAAAAAGATCGAGCACAACTCGTTTTTCTTACAAGGGAACCTCAAGTTGGCACGGTGGAATTTCGAAAACGCTCGCGGCTACCCCTAGGTTTTCGTCTATGGCGATTCCAAAGCTCTAGTCAGAAATTCCTAAATAGACCTCTGGACAGAGATACAGCATTTCCGGAAAATGACGATTTACATCCGAAAAATTAGCATTAGCGATAGTTTTATGAGGTATGAACCAAAAAATTTTCTAAAGTAAAAATCAAAACTGGACTTGGGCAGAAAGTTCTGGTCAAAAAGCAAAATAAAAAAATCGTGAGCGGATCCGAACCCTCGTCATCATCCTACCGGATGAGTCGTCTACCACTCGGCCACTTGACTGGTGATTCCATAGTGATGGGAGAGCCTCATAAACCTATCGCTAATGCTAATTTTTCGGATGTAAATCGTCATTTTCCGGAAGTGCTGTATCTCTGTCCAGAGGTCCATTTAGGAATTTCTGACTAGAGCGTTGGAATCGCCATGGTCGAAAACCTAGGGGTAGCCGCGAGCGTTTTTCGAAATTCCACCGTGCCAACTTGAGGTTCCCTTGTTAGCTTCTAGCACTTTAAATTTCCGGATAGATCTGACGGTGCCAATAAAATCGATAGCTGTTCGTTAAAGGGATGCCGACGGCATGTGTCGATCCCCCTCATCAACAAATTGGCAAGTAGCCAACAAGGCAGAGAGCGCGCGGAGGAGAGGTCGCAGACATTTTTTTTCCAGCGCGTAACCGATTGTCTATGCCGTCGGCATCCCTTTAAGTTGTCCTAAAAATAACTTTTTTCACGTCCTTGCAAACAGAGCCGTTGTATATTGCCAGATTTGGCCAGGATTAGCCGTGCTCTATCGGGCCATTTGATTGGCTTCGTCAGTAGTGATGGATGCTTTCAATAAAGGTCCCTTTTTCACTTAATCTATATTGCCTTGCGAAAGTACTTTCTATCACAGATTTTCAGAAAAACAGGCCTACGTACGAGACTTTACTAATCACAAAAACATCGAGTTCCTAAGGCCCCAACGTCATTTACCTGCTTTTTCAACCCCCGAAAGTTCAAGCTCACTCTCTATGTATAGGATCTCACTTTTCCTTCCGTCCACCCCTGAAAGGCCCGTATTTTGATGGTCCCATGGGGTTCTGGCTGGCCGTCGGATCTGGTATAGGAGCCTTTCGGAACAAAGGGAAGACCCAAAAGCCACTCGCGCCCACCCGAAATGGCGCTCGACCTCCCCGGGGACAATGGTTGGCCCTCGATCTCACTAAAAGTCATGGAAAATGATGGGATTGGAAAGGAGGGTGGGTTATCTTTTTGGTCTTGGGTTTTAGGTCTTTAATACCGCGATACTACGCGCAATACGAGGTTTCGAGCCCTTTCTATCAGTAAATTTTCAGGGGGAATTTAGCAAATTTTGTACTGTCCGAACGATGGCATTTTCTAAGAAGGCTTGATATAATAATAAAACTTAAATCTATAATGATAAAAAGCAACTGATTGAGGGGATAACATAGCACTTTGAAAATCATGATTGTTGAAAATTATGATGGATCTGGTGCCAGGTACTTATCGTGAGATGTATTAACAGCCGTGGGAACATCGCAAAAGCAGCTATTTGGTTATAATAGTATTAGTCGGCGTATTATCCCCCCCCGTTTATGCTAGTATCTTATAAAGCACTTTCGACCCGAGGTTATTTCGACTTGAAGCTCTGCACAGCATAGTCTCCGTGGCAGCAAAATCGAATTCTCGCGGCCCTTCAGCATCAGCTGCCGATCCCATCCACCATGTATGCAGATGACAGCAGCTCATCCTCCTCTTCTTCAGACATATCCGCTACTCCCCCCGCCTCCGATCCGTCTCCATTCCCTTCTCCTTCTCCCCCACCCCCCGTCCGGTTATTGTGTTAGTCGTCAGCTGGACAAGCCGCACCTTCTGGCCGTCCCGTCCCACCCATCCCCACCCCCGACCTTCGATTAGGGTCCGCGACCCACACACAACGGCGAGTAGCACCACCACGCACCCTCTAAATTGTTTTCGCGAATGCTTTGTCGTCCCTGAAAAGCGATGACGGCTTTGGAATTACCGCTTGAATAATTTTTTGGTAGATTTTTTGATGAATTAACTTGTTGTTCAGATATTTATCCAAATTCCGCTTCTGGCGCGCGTAATTTGCCTGAAAATGGCTGGTCGGGTCTAAAAATATTTTTTGATCGGGCCGGATTCTCAAAAAAACAAGATTTGTATAGTTTTAGCGTTCTTGGTGTGCATCAGTTCTGAAAAAATGTACAGTAATTTTTGTGTCACTTATTACAATAATTCATATTAATAGCCCTTCATCCTCAGTAGTGAGACGGTATTGAACTTTTTCCTGTAAAAACTTCACTTCAAGATCCCGGCATGCCTGGATCCAGTCAAATTCCACCCTCACCAGCCCTGTCAATCGTTCGGGTCTGCCCCAGCTCAAAAGCCCCCCCACAGCCACCCACCCTCGTGTCCTCGGTAGTATAGTGGTGAGTATCCGCGTCTGTCACATGCGAGACCCGGGTTCAATTCCCGGCCGGGGAGAAGCTTTTTGCTTTTGTTGGGAATAAGCCAAACGGATCTCGTTATGGCTGTTGAAGCTTTATTTTCGCCGAATTTCCCCGCCTAAATCCAGTCGCCTCACTTATTTATGAGGTCCTCGGCAGACCGGCTGCCAGCAGAACACACAGCGTCAGCGATCCTTTTCGGGAACGCGGATTTGGGAGGAGGATTTTCTTGGAATAGATGTTTTGCTATGCTGGTTTGCTGGCTGTTTGATCGTTTTTGGGGTTTGTTAGAGGAAGTTAGGATTTAAAACATCAGAAAATAAATGATTTAGAGCATTAAAATATATTTTTCGGCGTATCGCCTTTCGGCGCAAATCCCCAGATAAGTATTATCAGAGTTTCCGCATAAATTTAGTGCCATGTGAATCCCAAAACCGAGAGCCCCCTTTCCGGTTTCTTCGATTGAAACCGGACACCATGGCCAAAACGCAAATGGGGGGCACTACTCTGGGCGGCTCGTGGCGCTGCCGCGCACAGCCCCCCCCCTCGCTATGCAAAGCCTTTCCACCCCCCGTACACAGCCGAAATTAATGCATTTTTGATGATTAATTTGGTCAACCCCCACACTACCCCGCTTCAACCTCCCACTTCAATTGCTCTCGTGCGCATGTTTTCGTCTCGACGGTTAGTGGCTGGGATCGAATTTTTGGTATTATCAGCCCGAAAAGGCAAAAATGTATTTTTTTTCTGTACGAAAGACAGAAAATCCCATTTCACTCTTTCTCTAAAAGGGGGACGTTGAAAAGAATTACAATCTACCCGAACCACAGCTGCAACACGCTGTATTTATGGCATCAACTCTTAAAAAGTTATTTTACTAGCTATTTTAGCTTAATGAACGTCAATTTTTGAAATCTAGACCTTAATTTACCGAATCTGGCACTAATGTCCATTTCAACTATGCTTTTCCTCGTTTGGCGGATGGATACAGCGCTTGTCCATTTATTTTAACCCAAAATTGTCGTTTGTCGTCATGGAAACCCGCGGAATGGGCCACAGATAATTGCGATTTTGGCATTTTTAGCGATAATCACCGCGGCTAATCTTGGCGGGGAGGCATCCAGAGGCCTACGTAACGATACTGCGACATTTCCAAAAACTTCCTCTTCACGTGTCCCGTTCCTTTTTACTTTTTACGATGAAGATTGTCGTTTTATAATTTTTAACTTAACCGACGTGTAATAATGCTTACGAAAGGTTTCCTAAGAAACTTTTGAACCTCACTGGGGAATTGTTTACCTGAAAGTGCCATATGTTTCCCTGGCCGGCCAATCACTCACCTGTAGTTTGTTGCCGATCACCCGTTTTCGAGCCCCGACTTTCTCAACAGCACATGTTTCTTCGCAAACTTCGATTCATTGAATCGATTCCTTATTCTAAGCGTTATTTCCAGATGGGTGTAGCCTCGTCATGTGGCTACAACAGCAGAGTGTTACCCTTGTTAGGGCAAGGCAGTTACAGGTACAAGAAAATATGCTTTTTATAACAATTTGATTTCTAGTGTTGGCTGCGCAGATATGATGGTGAAAGATGGGCCAAATGGGGATTCCGGGATTTTTATGCGGATATTCTACCCGGTCGATAATAAAGTAAGTGCTTTTATCGAAAATTATAAACCACACATTCCCTGCCGTTTTTCGTACATTTTCGTTGCGCAATATTGCCGTAGCTCTCATGCGCCTTTTCGGCGTAACCAGCGATATCAGCCCTCTTTGCCGCCCTCTTCCCATGTCCTCGGTAGTATAGTGGTGAGTATCCGCGTCTGTCACATGCGAGACCCGGGTTCAATTCCCGGCCGGGGAGAAGCTTTTTGCTTTTTGGGAGTAATGATTTTGATGATGTTCTAAAAAGGGCTGGGTATCTCTTTTCGCGAGTTTAATTTTTCTTTTTATATTGCGGACATCCTTCCAGTAAAAAAATGGAGTCTTTTGTATCAGTTCTGGGCGTCGCTGTACACTCTTGTATTCTTTGCCAAAAAGTACCCACTGCCGTACCACATTTCACCCCAACCACCCCATTTCTCTTGTGTCCGCCTCCAGCCCATCTTCCCCCCATCCGCACGTGCATATTTTATGGTGATGGGCACCAATTTGGGGGGCCCGTTCCCTAGCCTCCTGCTTCTCCCTAATGCCCCCCTCAACGGCCCCTCTGGCGATGTGCTCCTACGGCTATTTATGTGTATCGGAAAAGTCATTAAACGGGCTTGCACGCGCCATTAGACCTCATCTCTGATGGTGAAGGCGTAGTAGATTTATGTAGTAATAGGATCAAGGGGCACTTTAAAGGTTACCTATCCATTAATGACCCGGGATTTTTTTGATAACCCCGGGATGCGTGAAAACTTGATATCATAAAAACCGGCTGAAATTCTATTGGCATGATATTTTGAGTTATTGGTTAGCTTAAAAAGGCGCTATGGTGATTTTTGCATACAAACTACATATTTATAGCTAATTGAATCCTAAAAAAAGTATCATATTACATCCTAATTCCAGGATCTCGACGAAAACATCAAAGACGAAGAATATGCGCCGTGGATTCCAAGGAAAGAATACCTACAAGGATTGGCAACTTACATGAAGACACCCTCGTGGAGGTTACAGTTCGTCTCCGATTGGCTGATCGGAGAAAAGAGGTGAGAAACTGCCGCGATAACGTACTTGAACACGCCCCTCATCACCTCGAATTTACAAAAAGCCTTTTGTTTTAGAATGCCGGCCCTTATGGAGCGCCCCCTTTCCGGGAGTAAGCAAGCGAGCACCAGCGTCGCCTCGTCCTATTCCATGGACGGCTTTGTTTTTACCGAAGAGCCGGGATTTAAGGTAATCCTAAGAAAGATGATGCCTATCTATCTATTTTTTTAGAAGAAGTTCCCCACCTCACTCTCCATGCAGTCCTTCTCCAGCCCCACTTTTCCGGTCGTCGTCTTTTCTCACGGGCTCTCTGGAGCTAGATTTATGTAAATCGACCATTTCAGGGAAAATACAAGTTCTATTTAAGGTACTCAACGTATTGCGCTTCGTTGGCGAGTTATGGATTTGTGGTGGCGGCAGTGGAGCATAGGTAAGCTTTACGACGTTTTTAGTGGTTCTCAAAATCAAGAAAATAGTTATATCCCAATTTTTAAGGGACTACTCGGCCTGCTGGACGTATAAGCTGATTCCGGATATGCTGGATGGTAGATTTAAAGAAAAGGAGCTGCCGATGAGACAGTTGAAGCCCGGTGAGGATGAGATGAAAGTGCGAGTACCACAAGTAAGCAATAGCAATTTATTAAAATAATTTTTGCGTTTTACAAAAGCAATATTAAAATTCCAGTTGCACAAACGGGTCTCCGAAATGGTGAAGGCTCTGCACGTGCTCGAGGAGCTGAATTTGGGACTGATCTAAGAAGAGGCAGAAAAGTCGAGTCGAGTAGTCATTGGGGAACACTTTAATTGGAGGCAATTTAAGGTGAGAAAA